TGAAGCAGCATGGATTTAATAAAAAATATATAAATCAAAAATTGCAACAACAAAACATTTTAACTGTTATAATAGTATTCAATTCATCAGTTGTAGAGCGATCAATATTGATGTATTGAGCACTATTTTAACAGTGATATGTCTATATCGCTCTGCAAATAATGTGTTGAGCACTACTTTAACAGTGGTATTTCTATATCGCTTTGTAAATAATGTATTGTGCACTATTATAACAGTGGTATTTCTATATCTCTCTACAATTGATGTATTGTGCACTATTTTAACAGCGGTATTTCTATATCACTCTACAATTGATGAATTGAGCACTATTATAACAGTGGTATTTCTATATCGCTCTACAATTGATGTATTGAGCACTATTTTAAGAGTGGTATTTCTATATCTCTCGATAATTATTGTAGTACGATAAAGAAAATTCATCGTTAAAATAATGCTCAATACATCGATTGTAGAACGATATAGAAATACAACTGTTAAAATAGTGCTCAACATATCAATTGTTGAGCGATATAGAATTATCCCTGTTTAAATAATGCTAAATACATCAATTGTAGAGTGATATAGAAATACCACTGTTATAATAGTGCTCAATACATCAACTGTAGAGTGATATAGAAATACCACTGTTATAATAGTGCTCAATACATAAATTATAGAGTGATATAGAAATACCAATGTTATAATAATGCTCAATACATCAATTATAGAGTGATATAGAAACACCACTGTTAAAATAGTGTTCAATACATCAATTGTAGAGTAATATAGAAATACTACTGTTATAATAGTGCTCAATACATCAATTATAGAGTGATATAGAAATACCGCTGTTAAAATAGTGCTTAATACATCAATTGTAGAGTGATATAGAAACACCACTGTTATAATAGTGCTCAATTCATCAATTGTAGAGTGATATAGAAATACCACTGTTATAATAGTGCTCAACACTTCAATTGTAGAGTGATATAGAAACACCACTGTTATAATAGTGCTCAATTCATCAATTGTAGAGCAATATAGAAATACCAATGTTATAATAGTGCTCAACACATCAATTGTAGAGTGATATAGAAATACCACTGTTAAAATAGTGCTCAATACATCAATTGTAGAGTGATATAGAAACACCACTGTTATAATAGTGCTGAATACATCAGTTGTAGAACGATATAGAAATACCAATGTTATAATAATGCTCAATACATCAATTGTAGAGTGATATAGAAATACTACTGTTAAAATAGTGCCAATTACATCAATTGTAGAGTGATATAGAAACACCACTGTTAAAATAGTGCCCAATACATCAATTGTAGAGTGATGTAGAAATATCACTGTTAAAATAGTGCTCAATACGCCAATTGTAGAGTAATATAGAAATACCACTGTTAAAATCGTGCTCAATACATCAATTGTAGAGTGATATAGAAAATCACTGTTAAAATAGTGCTCAATACATCAATTGTAGAGTGATATAGAAACACCACTGTTAAAATAGTGCTCAATACATCAATTGTAGAGTGATATAGAAATACCACTGTTAAAATAGAGCACAAAACATCAATTGTAGAACGATATAGAAATATCACTGTTAAAATTGTGCCAATTACATCATTGCAGAGCGATATAGAAATACCACTGTTAAAATCGTGCTCAATACATCAATTGTAGAGTGATATAGAAAATCACTGTTAAAATAGTGCGCAATACATCAATTGTAGAGTGATATAGAAACACCAATGTTAAAATAGTGCTCAATACATCAATTGTAGAGTGATATAGAAATACCACTGTTAAAATAGTGCACAATACATCAATTGTAGAACGATATAGAAATATCACTGTTAAAATTGTGCCAATTACATCATTGCAGAGCGATATAGAAATACCACTGTTATAATAGTGCTCAACACATCAATTGTAAAACGATATAGAAATATCACTGTTAAAATAGTGCTCAATACATCAATTGTAGAACGATATAGAAATATCACTGTTAAAATAGTGCCAATTACATCATTTGCAGAGCGATATAGAAATATCACTGTTAAAATAGTGCTCAACACATCAATTGTAGAACGATATAGAAATATCACTGTTAAAATAGTGCCAATGACATCAATTGTAGAGTGATATAGAAAATCACTGTTAAAATAGTGCTCAATACATCAATTGTAGAGTGATATAGAAACACCACTGTTAAAATAGTGCTCAATACATCAATTGTAGAGTGATATAGAAATACCACTGTTAAAATAGTGCACAATACATCAATTGTAGAACGATATAGAAATATCACTGTTAAAATTGTGCCAATTACATCATTGCAGAGCGATATAGAAATACCACTGTTATAATAGTGCTCAATACATCAATTATAGAGTGATATAGAAATACCACTGTTAAAATAGTGCTCAACACATCAATTGTAGAACGATATAGAAATATCACTGTTAAAATAGTGCTCAATACATCAATTGTAGAACGATATAGAAATATCACTGTTAAAATAGTGCTCAACACATCAATTGTAGAACGATATAGAAATATCACTGTTAAAATAATGCCAATGACATCATTTGCAGAGCGATATAGAAATATCACTGTTAAAATAGTGCTCAATACTTCAATTGTAGAGTGATATAGAAACACCACTGTTAAAATAGTGCTCAATTCATAAATTGTAGAGTGATATTGAAATACCACTGTTAAAATAGTGCAAAATACATCAATTGTAGAACGATACAGAAATATCACTGTTAAAATAGTGCCAATTACATCATTTGCAGAGCGATATAGAAATATCACTGTTAAAATAGTACTCAATACATCATTTGCAGAGCGATATAGAAATACCACTGTTATAATAGTGCTCAACACATCAATTGTAGAACGATATAGAAATATCACTGTTAAAATAGTGCCCAATACATCAATTGTAGAGTGATATAGAAATACCACTGTTATAATAGTGCTCAACACATCAATTGTAGAACGATATAGAAATACCACTGTTAAAATAGTGCCAATTACATCAATTGTAGAACGATACAGAAATATCACTGTTAAAATAGTGCCAATTACATCATTTGCAGAGCGATATAGAAATATCACTGTTATAATAGTGCTCAATACATCAATTGTAGAACGATATAGAAATATCACTGTTAAAATAGTGCCAATAACATCATTTGCAGAGCGATATAGAAATATCACTGTTAAAATAGTGCCAATTACATCATTTGCAGAGTGATATAGAAATACCACTGTTGAAATAGTGCTCAACACATCAATTGTAAAACGATATTGAAATATCACTGTTAAAATAGTGCACAATACATCAATTGTAGAACGATATAGAAATATCACAATTAAAATAGTGCTCAATACATGAATTGTAGAGTGATATAGAAATACCACTGTTAAAATAGTGCTCAATACATCAATTATAGAGTGATATAGAAATACCACTGTTAAAATAGTGCTGAATACATCAATTATAGAGTGATATAGAAATACCACTGTTAAAATAGTGCTCAATACATCAATTGTAGAACGATATAGAAATATCACAATTAAAATAGTGCTCAATACATGAATTGTAGAGTGATATAGAAATACCACTGTTAAAATAGTGCTCAATACATCAATTATAGAGTGATATAGAAATACCACTGTTAAAATAGTGCTGAATACATCAATTATAGAGCGATATAGAAATACCACTGTTAAAATAGTGCTCAATACATCAATTATAGAGTAATATAGAAATACCACTGTTATAATAGTGCTCAACACATCAATTGTAGAGTGATATAGAAATAACACTGTTAAAATAGTGCTCAATACATCAATTATAGAGTGATATAGAAATACCACTGTTAAAATAGTGCTCAATACATCAATTATAGAGTGATATAGAAATACCACTGTTAAAATAGTGCTCAATACATCAATTATAGAGTAATATAGAAATACCACTGTTATAATAGTGCTCAACACATCAATTGTAGAGTGATATAAAAATACCACTGTTAAAATACAATACTAAATACATCAGATTACATTAATCTTAATCAACAATTGTGCAGAAGTCGGTGCAACTTCTGTTATGGGTCATATATTTATACACTCAATTAATTCGATTCCTTTAACTTAATAGAATCATGACAATTCAAAATATTACGAAAGTCAAAAAAATAAATTTCGTTCTGCGCCTATAATACGGTGTTATTTAATTAATAACGACCCCGTCGAATAAAATTAGCCTTGTTTTGATAATTTATATATCGTGTATATTCCGCTTACTGCTTGTGTTTCGGTATTATTATGTCAATATTCCCCACTGTCTAAAACTGTTTCTGTCAAATTTGTTTATATTTGAAACATTTGACATTTACAGCTGTGGTAATTTGACAGATTGGTGCAAAAATATTCACGAATTTAATGTATTAATTCAATCAAATCGCCTCTTAACTGTTATAAAAAAGCCTAGCTGAATTTTGACACATTAACACATTTTTAAATGTTAGCAACCAACATTCATTCATCACAAGGAGATAACCGAGGACAACGAATTAAATCTGTTATTCTAAAGAGAACACCCTTAAGTTAACATCAAGACAGTAGTGGTTGTTGCTGGTATTATAATTCAAATGTGTATCTTATACAAATAATATAATTCTTTAGCAACCTTCTAGAATATATTCCAGAGTCAAATGCCTCTTACAGTATACATATCGACAATTTCTCTAGAGATTATGATATAGTAACTGTATACAATTCCATTTCTGTAGTCCAAACAGCTTACATAAGTATTCTGAATTATATAGAGATTTCAAGTGTATGTTTTTAATTTTAATGAATTTGACTGAAATTAAACGTTGAATTCCAATACCGAGCAAATATTATGGTTTTGGATATGTTTTTATTAGTATAAGGAATGACTAAAATAAGTTCTTTTCTCACACATAATAATGGATTTTTTCTTTTGTTTTTTTTCAGTGTGTTGTGTGAACTGTGATAAAAATGAAATCAAATTAGTGCGAAAATTAATGGCAGATTATGATAAACGAATTCGGCCATCTTTGAATGCCAGTGAATCTTTAAATGTGACTTTTGGATTAGCTTTAGCCCAAATTATAGATGTGGTAAGTAGATTTAAATATTTTATGCTAAGAAACCATTTTATATCTGTTTCAAACCAATTCATTTAAAACGTAAGAACTGAATTGGGCGTAAAATTTCGTTACATTTTAGTATTAGTACACACGAATTGTAGTTCACGGCTATTTTGAATCTCTACCCTGAATTTGTAAAAAAGCTCTGATAAATCACAAAATAATATAATAATCACAAACAATAAATTCAAATCACATTTTAAGCCATTTCTAAAACTTTAATTGTGATTTGAAGGTTTAGTTGAAATAATATAGGCTTTTTAAAATTCGTAATATAAAATCGATGTAGAGATTCAAAAAGGCTACGTTGGTGTGTCCATGTAAAAAACACAGACTTTCAATGCACTTAGTACAGAGGCGGAATGATTTATGATTTTGTAGATAGTCTGATGAGCAAATTTCGTCAAAGATATGAAGAGAAACAATTTCAACGATTTCAACGATTTTATATATAGTAGTGACGAGTGTTGCGAAGCAGAGCATGCTTAGCCTACTCTTTACAAAAATCCTGATGATACTTCTCTTTGGAGGAGTCCACTACAAGTTTTACTCTCAATTTGGCCATGCTTTGGACGAGATATTTGATTAATTTTATTTTAAATTTGATTTTGCTTCTCTGATAACAGGCTCGGATGGTGTGCAAAAGTTCATTTAGTAGAAATAAGACGTTCCAATTGAACTCATTTCACTTCAAAGGGGAAATAGATGTGTTCACACTTGTAAGTTCTATTAACTACGAAGTCACCTCGCTGTGTAATAGACTGTAATTACTGCACTGGTCATTAGATTGTACACTGAACTTTACATTACTCATATTCCCTTGCTGGTAGAGTTAATTTACAAATCAATAAACCTGCAGTCGTAATTGTAAGGGATTGTAAGATGGTTTTCTTAACTTTTTACGTGTATCGGGTTCACCGATAGCATCAAATGCAGCATTCAATTTTCAGTGCTTGTGAATTGTTAGTTTGTAAAACTATTTCACCGCTTAGCTCATTGATTGTCGGTCGATGAACAAGACTGTGAGATCAGAAGTTAAAAAGCAGTACTCTATCAAAGAGAAACATGGTGTCAATATGCTGACAACTAGGGCTAATTTAATGCATGGAAATCGAAATTGACTGTAACCTTTTGGTTAAATCCTTGGTGTTCCTTGTTGAACGATGGTTTCTACGGCCTTAATAGACTGTGGTCCTCATTAAGAAATATTTTTAGCTTTGTATGTAAATCAAAATGTGCCCCTGCACATAGTCTTACCCAAGAACATTAGCCTTTATTAGAAGGGTTCGAAAAATCGATGTGTTTTTTAAGGTTTGAGTGCCTCTTCAATTATGAAATTTCTCAAATAGCTAAAGCTTCTCTAGGAGTTTCTGTTCATTAAGAAAATACACTTCATCAATTTTAACTTAATAAGATAATAAGAAATTTTCAACGTCGCAAAGAATTTTACCTTGTCATCATCGTCAACATGTAGCAAACGTTGCATCAACGTGAACAATGACCGGAAGTATGTGATCACGGATTCATGTGATTATGTTCCTTTTATGTTACTATTTATAGCCAGCTCTGACCATGCAATGTGAAGTGAAACATCATAATTAAGATACATGTATGTGTTCTAGAAAAAGACGCTATATAATAAAATTGATTATACTTCCTACTGTTCAGTTATTTTCTAGGCTAATGAAGTCAAGTGCAAATCAGTAAAAAATAATTCTGAGTTTCTACAAGAGAGGTTTGACCTACTGTTCAAAGGGTCAAGGAATACAAATATCTCTTAATAACAGATGGAGTTTCCTATCCACTAATTGTTGGAGTATTTTTTTTGATGTAGTCTAAGCTTATCGACTTCAGCGTTGAAGAATAAAGCAGTTGCGTCACTTTTACATCTGTATTTATTCAAGAGCAGTTTCATACTTTAAAAACCTACTGTTAGACTTGTCTTTACATTCCTTAGGCACTATATAGAATTACCCTGGTTCATTGATTAAGCTTCTCTATTTAAAAATTCGAAAATTTTTTTTCACGTTCGAGTCAACAGTTATGGTCTTGAACAAATAGAAAAAATACAGAAGAATTAAGGAAATATTTGACTTGAGTCTAAAATATGAAAAAATGATGATCTTAATAAAATGTGAGTTTTTGAAAGAATAAAAGTAAATATTTGATTTGATGCTTCATCACTTATCTAAGGAAGAATAATCTGCTAATAAGATTGAGATTGTATGATCTTTCCTGTATAAATCTCTTTTCATTGGAGGTAAAATTTTAGGTGTTAAACTTGTAGACAAAAGTCCAGTCTGTAACTAGTTCTTTCCTGGAAGAAAACGATTGACAGAACTCTCCTTTGGTTTAAAAATGATTAAAGTTTTCGCGAAGGAAATGAGAGAATGGAATTTCGTAAACTAAATATTCGCATAAAAAATGCAATAGATGTTCCAGATTGAAATATCTTGTGATAGAAAATCACGTACGTGTCGGTTACATCTCATTATTTATTCCGACTCTTAGAATAAAATTTAAATTTTCAAACTTTGTTAGCAAGTGTATTATATTCATCAGTTGGACTTACAGGTGCCATGACTAAACAATAGAATCATTATATAAGACAATACATCCATTAAACTAAATAATTGTTGAAAAAAACGAAAAATGACTTAGTTTAATGAATTATTAAATAGTTTTATGGGTTTATGACACCAGGTAAGTCAAGATGAACAAGGACTCAAGATTAAAAATTTATTTTTTTGTCATCCTAAAAGGTAATTCACCTTTAACATGACTTATTGCAGTGCGTTCTATCGGACGCACAGTTTTGTTTTGCAAATGACTATTTTTGCAAATGACCATTTTTTTTCTTTGCAGTGCGTTACTGCATTGTTTTGCAAATGACTATTTTTCCCGATTCTGGTCAGAGCGCACAGCCAAAACTGCACATGTCACACATTAAGTGACATCATTATCTGTCATAAAGTGCGTGTCGTTGTTGTTTAAATGTAAAATGACACAATTGCTCAACCGGAAATGACGTAGAACGTAGCAAGTCTTGACCTCTTTCGAATTACTGCTCTAATTTCTAAATCTAATTTTTGATCGTAATTTCTGTTTTGTTCAGTACTATTTAGTAATGGCTGCAGGATAGCACTTTAAAATTTATCAGATTTTGATTTTTGTAGCTGACTTTTTTTGTTTTATTTTTAGCGGTTTTTTCAACTTCTACAATTTTATCTCAATCGATCTGAAAATTTGCAAGTAGTTAGACATTTTGATAGCGAATAAAAGTATGTTTTCAAAATTTTTCTACCACTTCCGGTTTTGACGTCATTTGCTTCTAAATTTTCACTTCCGGAATTTTATAGATATTTCAAAAATTCTTTTTGCAAAATGTCAGAATTATTATCAATTTTTTTCCCGGAAGTAGCGGATCATTCGTCATCTTGAATGTCCAAATTTTCTTTAAACCATTTTCTTGAAATAAGGGTTAATAGGATTTACATCATTTTAATGTCTATACCATCAGCAGTCGAGTCTTAACAAAAGAGTGGGAGCCGATTTTTGAATTTCGATTTTGCATTTTAGTTATTTCCGTTTGATATTTTTCAATATTTGCCAAAATTTTCAAGGCTCATATCTCGTGACCTCGACCGTTGGTGACCTTGTGACCAGAACAAAAGTTGTGCCCTTATTGAGATGCTTGAATTTTTGAACATAATTAAACATTGTACAGATGATGATGGATATAGCAAAATTTTGGGGTGGGTGTGGCACATCCGGGTTAGATTCACATTTACCTAACCTGATTGAATTTTTTATAACTCCAAAAGTATTTATTTTTCAACTTTCAACTTTTGCATCAAAATAGTACCCTACCTTGACCAGTTCCTAATAAAAACACGGTTTTATAGTTAAAAAATTGTATTCTTTGACCTTTTACTTAAATGACCTTGACCTTTGCAAGGTCAAAGGTCGTTGTTTTAGGATGTCCATTCATACTTTGATCTTTGACAGACGTTCGAAAACAGCAATTTTTAAAACTTTTAAGTCTCATAATATCTATTTTATTCAACCTTTGTTGACCTGATCAAAAGTTATTGCCCTTGGCGAGATCTATCCACAGATGTTTCCATTTTTGTTGTGCATCGTTCACTTCTGGTTCTACAGTCATTTGAAATTTCGACTTTATACTACCGAATAATAGCACCTTTTAATACCAAATAGTATCAAATTCATGCGTCTTTTCACTACCGAACGTTTATCGATTTTCTACGACCGAATGTTCACAAGCTTTTTTTCAGTAAGAAATCTCACTGTGACTTTAAAATGCAACGTTTCACCGATGTATCAGGTTGGATGCGCGCTGCTTTGGTACCGTGGCACGGCTCTAGTTATTATTATCTTGTAAATATTACAAAACGTTAGATTTTTCACTGAAGTAACGTGAAATATGAAACACAGATATTTAAAATAAATAACCAAATGTAACTGATTTTTAATGGTTTGTATATAATAAATATGAAACATTTTTGAAAGAGAAGAAACAAGTACTACATCTTGACCGTGTTCAGATTACCAATTAGCGGTTAATGAGACTAGCTGATTTGATAATTGGAGAACTTGTGTTCTGTGTAGTTATTTTGAAAGCTGTATGTTTATTCAGTTTATACTTTTCATCCTTTGTAATATTAAGTGAAGTATTTCACAAATTAAACGACACACGTCCGAAAAACAAATAGAATAGAATTTGAAAAACGCTCACCTATCGTACCAGGATATCGTACAGATAAATCCCAATGGGATGCCGGTAAAGAGGAGTTCCTTCTATAGATTGTCAGTGATTCGGTTGGGACCTTTCAAATATGTCGGTTTCCCCGGTGCTGGTTTACAGAGGTTTTACTGAGAAGTTTTGAATGGAGGTGACGATGAACCATACAAGGTTGAGAACCGACGTCGAAATTTCCATCATAACCATT